TTTTTTTTTTTCCTTGGAAAATCCGGGGATTTTTTTTTTTCCTTGAGAACTCCCGGGATTTTTTCTTCTTGGGAATTCCGGGGATTTTTTTTTTTTTTCCTTAAGAAATCCAGGGATTTTTTTCTCCTTGGAAAATCCGGGGATTTTTTTTTTTTCCTTGGAAAATCCGGGATTTTTTTTTTCCTTGAGAAATCCGGGATTTTTTTTTTCCTTGAGAAATCCGGGAATTTTTTTATTTTCCTTGAGAAATCCGGGAATTTTTTTATTTTCCCTGAGAAATCCGGGAATTTTTTTTTCCTTGAGAAATCCCGGGGAATTTTTTTTTTCCTTGACAAATCCAGGGATTTTTTTTTCCTTGAGAAATCCGGGAATTTTTTATTTTCCTTGAGAAATCCGGGAATTTTTTTTTTTTCCTTGAGAAATCCGGGAATTTTTTTATTTTCCTTGAGAAATCCGGGAATTTTTTTTTCCTTGAGAAATCCCGGGGAATTTTTTTTTTCCTTGACAAATCCGGGGATTTTTTTTTCCTTGAGAACTCCGGGAATTTTTTATTTTCCTTGAGAAATCCGGGAATTTTTTTTCCCTTGAGAAATCCGGGATTTTTTTTTTTTCCTTGAGAACTCCCGGGAATTTTTTTTTTTCCTTGAGAACTCCCGGGATTTTTTCTTCTTGGGAATTCCGGGGATTTTTTTTTTTTTTCCTTGAGAAATCCGGGGATTTTTTTCCTTGGGAATTCTGGGGATTTTTTTCTTCTTGGGAATTCCGGGGGTATTTTTTTTTCCTTGAGAACTCCCGGAATTTTTTTTATTTTCCTTGAGAACTCCGGGAATTTTTTTTTTTTCCCTTGAGAACTCCCGGAAATTTTTTAATTTTCCTTGAGAACTCCCGGAAATTTTTTTATTTTCCTTGACAACTCCGGGAATTTTTTTTTTTTTCCTTGAGAACTCCGTGAATTTCTTTTTCTCCTTGAGAATTCCGGGGATATTTATTTTTCCCGCGGGAATTCCGGGCGGTTTCATTTGATGTTTTTGAGGAGGGCGGAGCGGGCGTTGCCCAGGGCCTTGAAGGCGTCCTCGCTGCCCGGGGCCAGGCACTTGTCCGGGTGCAGCAGCACGGCCAGGCGCCGGTAGGCGCGGTTCACCTCATCCCTGTTCCCAAAAAAACCGGGATTANTGCCCGGGGCCAGGCACTTGTCCGGGTGCAGCAGCACGGCCAGGCGCCGGTAGGCGCGGTTCACCTCATCCCTGTTCCCAAAAAAACCGGGATTAACTGGAATTCCGGGAATTCCCAACCCCTGGGACCAGTTCACCTCATCCCTGTTCCCAAAAAAAACGGGATTAGAGAGAAAATCCGGGAATTCCCAACCCTTGGGACCAGTTCATCTCATCCCTGTCCATGGAAAAAACCGGGATTAGAGAGAAAATCCAGGAATTCCCAACCCCTGGGACCAGTTCACCTCATCCCTGTTCCCAAAAAAAACGGGATTAACTGGAAATCCGGGAATTCCCAACCCTTGGGACCAGTTCATCTCATCCCTGTCCATGGAAAAAACCGGGATTAGAGAGAAAATCCGGGAATTCCCAACTCTTGGGACCAGTTCACCTCATCCCTGACTAAAAAAAAACCGGGATTAGGGAGAAAATCTGGGAATTCCCAACTCTTGGGACCAGTTCACCTCATCCCTGACTAAAAAAAAACCGGGATTAGCTGGAATTCCGGGAATTCCCAGCCCTTGGGACCAGTTCACTTCATCTCTGTTCCCAAAAAAACCGGGATTAATGAGAAAATCTGGGAATTCCCAACCCCCGGGACACGGCCAGGCGCCGGTAGGCGCGGTTCACCTCCTCCCTGTTCCCAAAAAAACCGGGATTAACTGGAATTCCGGGAATTCCCAACCCCTGGGACCAGTGCACTTCATCCCTGTCCCCCAAAAAACCGGGATTAACTGGAAATCCGGGAATTCCCAACCCCTGGGACCAGTTCACTTCATCCCTGTTCCCAAAAAAACACGGGATTAGAGAGAAAATCCGGGAATTCCCAACCCTTGGGACACGGCCAGGCGCCGGTAGGCGCGGTTCACCTCCTCCCTGTTCCCAAAATAAACCGGGATTAGAGAGGAAATCCGGGAATTCCCAACCCTTGGGACCAGTTCACTTCATCCCTGTCCCAAAAAAAAAACGGGATTAACTGGAATTCCCGGAATTCCAAGCCCTTGGGACCACTTCACTTCATCCCTGTTCCCAAAAAAACCGGGATTAAACTGGAATTCCGGGAATTCCCAACCCCTGGGACCAGTTCGCTTCATCCCTGTCCCCCAAAAAACCGGGATTAACTGGAAATCCGGGAATTCCCAACCCTTGAGACCAGTTCATCTCGTCCCTGTTCCCAAAAAAAACGGGATTAGAGAGAAAATCTGGGAATTCCCAACCCTTGGGACCAGTTCACCTCATTCCTGCCTAAAAAAAAACCGGGATTAACTGGAAATCCGGGAATTCCCAACCCCCGGGACCAGTTCACTTCATCCCTGCCCCAAAATAAACCGGGATTAACTGGAATTCCGGGAATTCCCGGCCCTTGGGACCAGTTCACTTCATCCCTGTCCATGGAAAAAACCGGGATTAGAGAGAAAATCTGGGAATTCCCAATCCTTGGGACCAGTTCACTTCATCCCTATCCCCCCCCCAAAAAAACGGGATTAACTGAAAATCTGGGAATGCAGGGATTTGGGTGGGAATTGTCATGCTGGGAATTCCCAGGGTTTGGAATATTGGATATATTNTGCCCGGGGCCAGGCACTTGTCCGGGTGCAGCAGCACGGCCAGGCGCCGGTAGGCGCGGTTCACCTCATCCCTGTTCCCAAAAAAACCGGGATTAGCTGGAATTCCGGGAATTCCCAACCCCCGGGACACGGCCAGGCGCCGGTAGGCGCGGTTCACCTCCTCCCTGTTCCCAAAAAAAACGGGATTAGAGAGAAAATCTGGGAATTCCCAACTCTTGGGACCAGTTCACCTCATCCCTGTTCCCAAAAAAACCGGGATTAACTGGAATTCCGGGAATTCCCAACCCCTGGGACCAGTTCATCTCATCCCTGTCCAAAAAACCCGGGATTAATGAGAAAATCCGGGAATTCCCAACCCCCGGGACACGGCGGTTCACCTCATCCCTGTTCCCAAAAAAACCGGGACTAACTGGAATTCCGGGAATTCCCAACCCCTGGGACCAGTGCACTTCATCCCTGTTCCCAAAAAAACCGGGATTAGAGAGAAAATCTGGGAATTCCCAACCCCCGGGACCAGTGCACTTCATCCCTGCCCCAAAATAAACCGGGATTAACTGGAATTCCGGGAATTCCCAACCCCTGGGACCAGTTCACTTCATCCCTGTTCCCAAAATAAACCCGGGATTAGCTGGAATTCCCGGAATTCCCAACCCTTGGGACCAGTTCATCTCATCCCTGTCCATGGAAAAAAACGGGATTAAAGAGAAAATCCGGGAATTCCCAACCCTTGAGACCAGTTCACCTCGTCCCTGTTCCCAAAAAAACCGGGATTAGAGAGAAAATCCGGGAATTCCCAACCCTTGGGACCAGTTCACTTCATCCCTGTCCCAAAATAAACCTGGGATTAGAGAGAAAATCCGGGAATTCCCAACCCTTGGGACCAGTTCACCTCGTCCCTGTTCCCAAAAAAACCGGGATTAACTGGAATTCCGGGAATTCCCAACCCCTGGGACCAGTGCACTTCATCCCTGTCCCAAAAAAACCGGGATTAATGAGAAAATCTGGGAATTCCCAACCCCCAGGACACGGCCAGGCGCCGGTAGACGCGGTTCACCTCATCCCTGTTCCCAAAAAAAACGGGATTAATGAGAAAATCCGGGAATTCCCAACCCCTGGGACCAGTTCATCTCATCCCTGTCCATGGAAAAAACCGGGATTAGAGAGAAAATCCGGGAATTCCCAACCCCCGGGACACGGCCAGGCGCCGGTAGGCGCGGTTCACCTCATCCCTGTTCCCAAAAAAACCGGGATTAGAGAGAAAATCTGGGAATTCCCAACTCTTGGGACCAGTTCACCTCGTCCCTGTTCCCAAAAAAAACGGGATTAGAGAGAAAATCCGGGAATTCCCAACCCTTGGGACCAGTTCGCTTCATCCCTGTCCCCCAAAAAACCGGGATTAACTGGAATTCCGGGAATTCCCAACCCCTGGGACCAGTGCACTTCATCCCTGTTCCCAAAAAAAACGGGATTAGAAAGAAAATCCAGGAATTCCCAGCCCTTGGGACAAGTTCACCTCGTCCCTGTCCAAAAAAAAACCGGGATTAATGAGAAAATCCAGGAATTCCCAACCCTTGGGACCAGTTCACTTCATCCCTGTCCCCAAAATAAACCGGGATTAACCGGAATTCCGGGAATTCCCAACCCTTGGGACCACTTCACTTCATCCCTGTTCCCAAAAAAACCGGGATTAGACAGAAAATCCGGGAATTCCCAATCCTTGGGACCACTTCACTTCATCCCTGTTCCCAAAAAAACCGGGATTAGACAGAAAATCCGGGAATTCCCAATCCTTGGGACAAGTTCACCTCATCCCTGTTCCCAAAAAAACCGGGACTAACTGGAATTCCGGGAATTCCCAACCCCTGGGACCAGTGCACTTCATCCCTGCCTAAAAAAATACCCGGGATTAACTGGAAATCTGGGAATTCCCAGCCCTTGGGACAAGTTCACTTCATCCCTGTTCCCCAAAAAAACCGGGATTAGAGAGAAAATCCGGGAATTCCCAACCCTTGGGACCAGTTCACCTCGTCCCTGTTCCCAAAAAAACCGGGATTAGCTGGAATTCCGGGAATTCCCAACCCCCGGGACCAGTTCACCTCGTCCCTGTTCCCAAAATAAACCAGGATTAACTGGAATTCTGGGAATTCCCAGCCCTTGGGACCAGTTCACCTCATCCCTGTCCCAAAAAAAAACGGGATTAATGAGAAAATCCGGGAATTCCCAACCCCTGGGACCAGTTCACTTCATCCCTGTCCCAAAAAAAAACGGGATTAACTGGAATTCCGGGAATTCCCAACCCTTGGGCCAGTTCATCTCATCCCTATCCCCCCCCAAAAAACCGGGATTAACTGAAAATCTGGGAATTCCCAACCCTTGGGATGATGGGAGGAGCTGGGGAAAATGGGGAAAATTGGGAAAACTGGAGAAATGGGGAAAATTGGGGAAATTGGGAAAGTTGGGAAAAGTGGGGAAAATTGGGAAATTGGGAAAATCCATAAAATTGAGGAAATTGGCAAAAAAAATCGGGAAAATCGGGAAGAAATGCAGGGATTTGGGTGGGAATTGTCATGCTGGGAATTCCCAGGGTTTGGAATATTGGATATATTTGGATTTATTTGGATAATCCTCATTTTCCNAATGCAGGGATTTGGGTGGGAATTGTCATGCTGGGAATTCCCAGGGTTTGGAATATTGGATATATTTGGATTTATTTGGATAATCCTCATTTTCCCCAGGATAATTCCATGTTTTTTCCCATGAAATTCCCCCTTTTCCCCAGAATAATTCCATGGTTTTTTTCCATTGGAATCCCACCTTTCCCCTTGAAAATTCCATGTTTTTTCCATGGGAATTCCACCTTTTCCCACAGGAATTCCATGTTTTTTTCCATGATAATTCCACCTTTTCCCCACAAGAATTCCACGTTTTCCCATGATAATCCCATATTTTTCCCATCATAATTCCATGGTTTTCCCCATGACAATTCCATGTTTTTCCCCACAACAATCCCATATTTTCCCTACAACAATCCCATGTTTTTCCCATGAAATTCCCACTTTTCCCCATGATCATTCCATGTTTTTCCCCCACCACAATCCCATGTTTTTCCCCACGAAAATTCCATATTTTTCTCATGACAATCCCATGTTTTTCCCATGAAATTCCCAATTTTTCCCACGATAATTCCATGTTTTTCCCACCACAGTCCCATATTTTTCCCATGAAATTCCATGTTTTTTCCCCATGAAAATCCCACCTTTTTCCCACGAAATTCCCCCTTTTCCCCATGACAATCCCATGGTTTTTTCCATGAAATTCCATGTTTTTTCCCCACGACAATCCCATTTTTTTCTCATGACAATCCCACGTTTTTCCCCACAATAATTCCATGTTTTTCCCATGAGAATCCCATGTTTTTTCCCATGAAATTCCATGTTTTTTCCCCACGACAATCCCATTTTTTCCCCATGACAATCCCATGTTTTTCCCATGAAATTCCCATTTTTTCCCATGACAATCCCATGTTTTCCCATGAAATTCCCCCTTTTCCCCATGACAATCCCATATTTTCCCCATGACAATCCCATGTTTTTCCCATTAAATTCCCATTTTTTCGCACCACAATCCCATGTTTTTCCCCATGAAAATCCCACCTTTTCCCCACGTCAATCCCATGTTTTCCCCATGACAATCCCATGTTTTCCCCATGAAATTCCCATTTTTT